CACAACGAGGCGTGTGCACAAGGAAAAGTGTGCGTACGGTGTCAGGGTTCATACCAGATCCCAAATTCCATTTTCCCTGACTTTCCCCTGACTTCGAGACTAAAATATCACGATTTTCCCTGACTATTCTGAGTACAATAGGAGGTCAATGAGCAGAAATACAGTAAAAACAGGACGCAAAGACTCGCAAAGATCACTGTCGGAAGTTATATCGTAATTTAACGAAAACTGTGGTGTGATTTTTTCTTCACAAATTCTTCGTTATTTTCAAGTAACGAACACATTCGTAAAAGGACGAACAGTTTGTCACTCCTTTGTTGTCCTAAAAGACCGGTCCTGGACACAAGAATTTTTCGAACAAGCAGTCGAACATCCTGATCAATTAACACTATTAAATCGGCGTGATGTTACGAAAAGTGTCTTTTATACCGCTACGAACAGTTCGTAGTTCGTAAACAAAATTGACGAATGATACTCATTAATTTCAATTATTACGAACTATTCGTGACAGATTATTATCGTGAAATGACGAAATTCTTTAACAGTAAAGACGCTACTTGAATCCACAGTTTTATTTGCAATAATTACAATTGACTCAAGATCATTGCAGTGCGTGCGAGGTCCCGTATAGTCGGTCGTCGTTGATGGCTCACCTGTTGTTGTGGTAGCGGCCCACGCCCACGAGCCGGTACAGCTGCAGCTCGACGCGCTGCTTCGCGTCCGGGAGGAGCGTGAAGGCGCAGATGCCCGCAGTGTCCATGGAGGACGACTTGATCATGCCGTAGGACCGGCCGGACCGCTGCAGCACCGTCACCGAGTCGATGGTGGCGTTACACACTGCGGAGAGAAGCAGACGCGATCAGGTCAGGGGATGCACACTGATTTATATTGAGGAAACGTTCGCTTGAACCTGAGATGAGACAGATTATCAGCAGGCACGAAGTAGCTAAGTAGTTGGCAAGAAGGGTGCAGCTTCGCTTTGTGTAACTTTTCTTTTCTTCATCTTCACCCAGAAACATCTATTGTAATTTTTATATTTACAAAGTATGTTGTATATTTACGTCAGCGTCAGCCCATTCTTCCTTGTCGATCGATCCAAGTCGATGCAAAGTGCTTGTGTAAATTTACAATATCCAATTGTATATTTACTGCACCTATAATGGAAAGTTTTTCCATACACCTACGACTATTTTTAACAGTGTCGTGACCCGCCGCACTTCCACCGAAGAGGGACGCTCCATCGACAATCCCAAATAAAGCATTCTAAATTCGTGCGATACTCTCGGAACATGTGACACGTATTCAGCAGATTTTTTATTCATCCATCCATCCGTCCGCCTGTGCAGTGATGCGTGGAAGTGATTGTCCAATGAATTATTATTCTATTGTGCGCGCCCCGCTGTGACAGACACGACACACTGGGCCTGCACGGACATACTGGGCCGGCACGGACAGGATGTCGGACAGGCAAGTGACGAACACGGTCCGTAACAGGGCGCTGCACTGCCGCAGGCCATGGCCGCCCACCAAACCACAAAGCGGAGCCGACCGAGTTAAAAAAAAACAAGAACAAATGAACGGACGGGAAGCGGCAGGGTCTCTTGAAACGTGAGTGTGCAGTGCACTGTGCTGACGCCAGGATAAAGGGAAAAACACGCAGAAAGGGGATGAAAGAATGGGATGCAAGGGCCAGTACATACACTGTTGTGCTAATTCACATTCAGCGCGTCGACCACCCAGTCGCCATATCTCCCCACTCCCTGCCTCCCTTACATAAACAAACTAGGGCAGCAATTTATGATTTGCCCGAAAATTTATGCATCTCGTTTTATTGTTTTTAAAACTCCACGCCAGGTATAGGGGATGGGTAGGGCAGCAGCTGCTGCCCGTCGCAACACACCGGGGGGGGGGGGGGCAACATACACCTTGCTGGGGAGCTTTAGGGGAATGACTGGCTCGTATGAAAATAAATAAAAGGCAATCTGTTAGCAGAGTGCCAACACCAACATAATGCACGACAGACACGTATTCCCACGTATTGCGTATTCATGAGAATTTGGTTCCCTTTCAAAGGAACTAGACCAAAAGGAGACTGATAAGTGGAATCTACCGATCGGTTCGAACGCCCGCCAACGGACTGCCCGCCACAAGGATTTTCTTACAAACGAATGAGAACACTGATAACAAAGTTTTCAGTCGTGCAACACAAAGGAGCACATGAACTCGCATGAACTATAGTTTCGAGCTGGTTGAATACTTTTGATCCACCATTTTCTACCACACAGCAGTAATGACAGGGTTGTTGGACTATACTGACAGATTCAACTAGCAACTCCGTAATATATTTCCAGGTTGTCCAGGTTGTGGCGAAACGGGGCAAAGCTTCCTATTCTTTTGTTTTTAAAGGACTCTTTTGTTTCCAATATCTCCATTGCGTCATTGATTTTGAAGGAGCCATTCGACCCTGGTCCGCCCCGCCCGTCACAGACGCTGGCACGTTCGCTCAATCACGACACTTTTATATTCCAGCCGCGGTGCCGGTGCTGCAGCCGCCTTTTCTTTCTGGTTCACTTTGATTGCTTCATTACCAGTCCAATTAATAAAAGTAAAGCTTATTGGGCGCCGCAATGCGGAGAGTGGCACGCAGCCAGCGGAGAAAGAATCAAAGGACTTCGCCCCGGGCCGTCCGCGACCCTTGTGTGAGAAAGTTAATGTGCACTGGAAGAAGTGTGCGAATATCGCACACGTGGAATAGAGCATACGAGACGCACGACAACATATTCACAGGATGCACTATGACGCACGGGAGCAACTGACAATCCACATCTCAGAGGAGCGACGATTCGCCTAACGGCAAATGCAATAAAAGCTCCCAAACGACGCGTAACTTTCTCTAGGATCTCGGATTAGGCGCGCAATCAATCGGGTGCTGATATGGATTATTATGGACCGTCCAGGAAATGCGTCCGTTCCTCTGAGATTCATTCTGAAAAGTTAATTAAGAGAGCTCGGCGCCCGCGAGACTTCGGGTAGGCCATCCCGCAGTACGCGCGTGCACTGCGGGCGAGATGTTGCCTATCCATCAGGGGCTATAAGAGCTTGCATTGGCTGAACCTGGCAGTTTCGTGACGGAAAATGACGGGAGTACTTTCTAGATGATGCCATATGACCATCCGCAATTACCGGATGCGAAAATGACGGGCGCCATTGATTGTAGATAACGGAGATTAAAACAAACGAAAACGGCAGATAGGGAGGGCGCAAGTTGAGGTGTACTCACTGTTGGCGCAGTACTTCTCCAGGCCGCACTGCGCGCAACGCTGGGGGGCTGCCTCCCCGCAGTGGCAGCCACCCTCTTTGACGCAGCAGGCGCAGTCGGCCTGCGACGCGTTCCACGGGCAGGGGCAGCCCGAGGCCGACATGGTCCACATGTCCACGCGCGCACCTGAAACAGAGAGTACACTGTTAGTGACAGCAAGGTTCAATCTACACCACCCAGCACATTCGACAATGAGAGCACGTAGCCTCCCACCTGCGAGCATATACGGCATATATGCGTATACGCATTTCGAATCGACGC